CTCACTATGCAGTTCAGGCTGGCCTTGAGCTCACTTTGTAGCCCAGGCTGGTCTCGAACTCACAACGATCCTCTGCCTCAGCCTCCCGAGTGCTGGGATGACAGGTGTGTGCCCCCATGCCCGCAAGCTTCTTCTCCATGTACCAACTCTGTGTAATATAAAATGAAACACTACACATTTTCTTCTTTTTTAATCTCCTTCTCTACCCTCCTTTATTAGCAGGAAATAGTACATCTTCAGACAACTTACAGTTTCTGAGCAAATTCAAGCCATTAATGACTTCTGACTGAAATCAACTTAACACAGGGGGTTAAAAACATGATTCATTCTAATATAGAAATAAAATAATTGAATTTGAATCTAAATTTATTTTCCACACATGTAAATTTTTTTTAATTTTCATCTGTGTTTTATAAAATGTAATACATGTTAGTGCAGTATCAGAATGTATAAATTGCCCATCTTAGTGATATATGCTCAAAAATTTTCACCATTAGGGTATAGGATGTAAACATTCCAGAGTGTTCTTCCTAATATCAACCTAAAGAACAGTAAGCGCAGATGAATGCTGTCACGGCAGGGCCTGAGAAGTGCTCTAGGAATTTACGTCATTCCCTCGCTGGGCCTGGGGCTGGAAGGAGAGAACACGGAGGGTGGCGGCGGAGCTGGAGACCTCTGCCCACAGCTTTCTTAAACATTAGGACTACAGTCATGATCTTGTCTTTTAGATTATATTATTGAAATTCAGTGACCGATTCGTTAAGAAATAAATGTCCTCAAAATTACAGTCTTCTGTTTGGTAATGGCAACAATAAAAAATACACAAACCTTTGTTATTTAGAAGCGGTTGTTTCTCAAGAAGAATGGTTTATACTTTAGCTGCCATTTTAGTAAGTGTATCAGAAATGAAGTCGTCTAAGGATGAGCTCTGTGAACTGCTTGAGGGCAGGAGCACTGTGATACCCTGGCTGCCCCAGTGCCCTAATGCGGGACGGTATCTGCGAGGTGCTTGGTGGTGTTACTGAACAGCCTGCCTGGGGAAAACGACAACATGAAACGGGAGAAGATTCAATAACCTAAAATTGTTCTAGTGGTTCATTTTAAATATGTTTGCAATTCATTACTCTCTTGTCGTACTTTAGCTTGCCAATTCTGTAACTCCTTGGGATGTGTTGCTGAGCTTAATTGCAGCTGCCACTCATGATCTGGATCATCCAGGTGTTAATCAACCTTTCCTTATTAAAACGAACCATTACTTGGCAACTTTATACAAGGTTAGTACAACTTTCTCATCTAAATTAAGGTTTCTTCATTCTAGAATCAGTGTTTCATGTTCTGAAGAAATGAAAGTAGTGCAAATAAATTCTCAATGAATGTTAGAATTTTAACCAGATTAGTATTACTGACACATAGTTCTTTATGTTCAGAAAGAGACTTAGCATTAAATAACTAAGAAATATTTCTTATAGAATACCTCAGTATTGGAAAATCACCACTGGAGATCTGCAGTGGGCTTATTAAGAGAATCCGGTTTATTCTCACATCTACCATTAGAAAGCAGGTAGGTTGGATTAACAAAAATTTAATTTGTATACAAATATGGAAATTAAGTTGGCAGAGCAATTTATAGTTTTTATAACTATATTATTATGTTCAAATGTTCCAGTTTTCAGTTTTTTGTTAAATTGAATAGATAAATTACAAATTATAAATTTGTAATTATAAATTATGTATTAGGTATAAAATTATAAATTTTTAAATGTATATCAGAATTTTAGTTACTTGACCCTATTCTGTAGTTTAGTCAGTAATATTTTAGTGGATTTTTCAATGAAGACCATCCCATGAATTTTAGTAGTATAAATTTCACTCTAAATATACAGTGATTCGATCATAATTTATTACTTTTTTTGTTTGGTACTGGGAATCGAACGCAGGACTTTGTGCTTGCCAGGCAGGTGCTTGTGCTGCTGAGCTATATCCCTGGCCCTACTACTTATTTATATAGAAAGATATTACATATTTCCACTTTATACTCAGCTGAATAAACCCATAAGGTGAATTGCACAGAATGTAAACATTCTGTATAATAAGTGGATTCATTAAATCTATCTTTAGAAATTTTCAAAACGGATAAGAAAGTAAAAATAACATTTATATCCTTGAAAACATAGTCCTAAAGACACTTCTGGAACTATGGGACAAAGTAATGAATCAAAAGAATAACAAAACATTTTAGAAAAAATAATGTTAAGTAAGGCATTTGAGAGCATAACGTAAAGCATTAATAAAAGCTAACTGGACATGATGGTGGTTCGGATATCTCACCCAGCTGCCACAGCACGGTCCACAAACCAGCGTTTTTCCAAGTGCCACATTGAGAGCACTTCAGAAAACTACCACTGGGTATGGTCGTGCATGCCTGTCATTCCAGCACTCAGGAGGCTGAGGCAGGAGGACTGCTGTGAGTTCGAGGCCAGCCTGGGCTACAAAGTAAGTTCAAGGCCAGCCTGAACTGCATTGTGAAACCCTGTCTCAAAAAGACAAAGAGAGAGAGAGAGAAATAAAGAAAACCACACATGTGGGTATAAACTTTCCAAGTCAAGCAAAAGGGTGAAGAGTAAACATTGATGTTCAAATTTACACTCATTTTTCTTTCTTCCTTCCTTTCATAATTGAAAACTACTTAAAACTGTTTTGTATAATGACTATAAGGGAAAAGCTGGGCTTTATTTCTTATTTTTTTAACTCTACTCATGGTTACCATTTGGAATATGACAATAGTTCTGGTAAGTAAAACAATTTCTTGCTGTTGTACAGATATAAACCATCTAGTATTTGTATATCTAAAATTATGGTTTTTTTATTAAGACAGATTTAAATGTTGCTTCAATATTCATTTATCTGGTTTTACATATGATTTTTTTTTTTTTTTTTGGTACCGGGAATCAAACTCAGGCCCTTGTGCTTGCCAGGCAGGCGCTTGTGCCACTGAGCTATATGCCTGGCTATGTATGATGATGAACTTGCTGAATTCTTAGATTTAATAAAAATAAAAAATACAACTTAATAGCATATTTTATGTTTTCTTAATACAGGGCTTTTTACTTGATATTGTGTTTTAATATATTTGATATCTCTTTACTTATAGAAAGATAGGCTTACTACAGCCTATTAAAGCAAAAGACAAGAATTTTTTAAGTGTGTTTCTCCTGTTATTTGACATGGAGCAGTTTTTAAAAGGACACAGTATACCTGTTATTTGTATTAACATGTTACCTTTTTCCTTCATATACAGATGATTTGGATATTCATATACAGATCGTTGATTCTTGAGTTTGACACTGAAAATTTAGTCAGATACAAATGTTACTAAATTGTTTAGTGGAATTTCATTAAAATTTCATCAGACACTTAGTCTAAAGCAGTCAGTTGCTGACTGGCTAGTATTCTCCCCACTTGAATCTTCTTTCTGCCTTTCAGATCTCAGGCCCCAAAAAGAGAAACCAGAGTTGTTTGCCTTCAGCAGGAAACTTTTCCAGCAAAGAGTCCTAGCGAAGAATTTCTTCAGATAACATACCAATACTGATTTTTTTTTTTCAGCAAATAATTCCATCTTGGCTAGCAAGATAAAGGCACTCCTTTTGGAATGTTTGCATATTAGTACAAACTCTCTTGGTTTTAGTTTTGATTACTTTCACAGTTATTTAATGCAATCTTTAAAATACATCTTTTGTGATAAATTTTAAATTCATTGGTAGTTACAGTATCTAGGGCTCTGTAGAATTCCAAATAGTATATTTAAGGAAAAAAACAAGAATAATTTACTTGAATGTCTTATATTTCTCTTTATGTATCTCTAATTCCAGGCAACAAATGGAGACTCAGATAGGTGCTTTGATACTAGCCACAGACATCAGTCGCCAGAACGAGTACCTGTCTTTGTTTAGGTCCCATTTGGATAGAGGGGACTTATGCCTGGAAGATGCCAGACATAGGCATTTGGTTTTACAGGTAAAATGGAGCTTGGAAAGCTTGTACTTCCAGGGCCACCGTGAACATGTTAGAATGGAAATGAAACGTTACAGTACCGTTTTCCACAGTGGCTGACTAGAGGGAAAGCTGAAGAATCAGTTAGTTCTCACGCTTTCTAGAATGCCACTGGCAAGCCTACTGTCTGGGAAACCAGTCCTGTGGTTTTTGTATTTTTCATGCTTACGATTTCTTAGAAAGCTGAGCATGGTAGTGTAAATTTGTCATCCCAGCACTCCGGAGGCTGAGGCAGAAGGATCACTGCAAGTTCAAGGCCAGCCTGGACTACACATGAGTTCAAGGCCAGCCTGGACTACACAGTGAGACCCTGTCTCAAAAAAAAAGATTTCTAATGAAAAAAACAAACAAACAAACAAAAAAACCTGATGCATTTCCACATCTGAAAAATGGGTAAGAAATCAGTTTATATTTATGGATAACCCAGGCATGGTGGCTGGCTCTTTGGAATTTCCAAGCATGGATGAGAACAGGCCGGCAGCCTCCCTGTATCTTCATCAGCACTGCTACAAAAACAGTGGGCAGATGCATAATAATAGGTAGTACCATAAGAGTAGTATAAAGCACCATGAATTTTCTGTGGCAATATTTTCTTTTTCTTTCTTTTTTAAAATTTGTTTGTGGGGAGTGAACCGAGAATCCCATGCATGCTAAGAATGTGCTATATACTACCACTGAGCTACACTGCAGCTCTTTTCTTTTTTTTTTAATTTTTTGTCTTTTTGAGACAGGGTCTTGCTATGCAGTTCAGGCTGGCCTCAACTCACTTTGTAGCCCAGGCTGGTCTCAAATTTCAACCATCCCCCTGCCTCAGCCTCCTGAGTGCTGAGATTACAGGCATGCGCCGCCACACCCGGCTCTTCTCCTTTTAAAGTGTTCTTTTCCCCTTTATGAGAGTATATCAAAGCATAGTGCAATTGAGATATTCCTTTTTTTCCTTAACACAATCTTACTAATATTTCGTTTGCTAGATGGCTTTGAAATGTGCTGATATTTGTAACCCTTGTCGGACCTGGGAATTAAGTAAGCAATGGAGTGAAAAAGTAACAGAAGAATTCTTCCACCAAGGCAAGTTACAGTATCAAGTGATAATTACTCAGTTCATGTTTTTTGCCTCATATGAATAAAATAAGAACTCAGCCATTTGTAAGAGTCTTTGAGTACTTGATATTTTTAGCAACAGTTCACAGTAGATGTTCATAAAGCCACCAGTGTACAAATGGAGCATCTGTTTTGAAAATTAACAGTCCCTTTTTGGAATGATCAGACACATGTGCACTGATTTATTAACATATGTAGAGCAGGCTAGAGATGTGCTGTACAGAAGGATTTCTCCGAGCCTGCGCCATCCCTTGTCACGTGCACGGCCCTACGAACACTGTTTTGTGATTCAGAGCAGTGTCATCATTTCACGCCACCTTCCTTTTAAAACTTCTAAGCTTTAAACTAATCTGCTGGGAGAATTGCAGTGTAAGGAGAGGGTAATACCTAATACAAGTTTTTATGTCCTCCATCTAAATAAAGATATCCATTCGGCAACCTTAAATTTTAAAAAAGAGCTAATTGAGAAGCCATCCTCTCATGAGAATTAAATTTGTTCTTCTTAGGGATTAACAGGTATGACAAACACCTTAGCTGTCTGTTTAAGCAACAGATATGTTCCATTCTAACAGTTCTTTTTTTGATTCATAGGAGATATAGAAAAAAAGTATCATTTGAGTGTGAGTCCACTTTGTGATCGCCAGACTGAATCTATTGCCAACATCCAGATTGGTAACTATACATATTTAGATAGAGGTGGTTATAAAGATGCCACTCATTTTATCAAGAAGAGAAATATATTTAAAATATGAAATACTAAAATTACGCTCATTTCTACTTTATGAAATAATTTAGCAAAGTTTACCTGTGTTTTCCTGTTATGACTGCTTCAACCTGTGTGCCTGCCAGCCCTTCGCATGTGTCCCCCAGGCTGCCTCCTCTAGTCACCTCCTCCAGAAGCGCCTCCTCTCTAGCCACTTAGGTCTTCTTCTCCCAGGCCTGATAGAAAGCACAGAGAAACGTTCTGTGATGGCAGGATTGCAGCTTGTAGAAAAATGTCAGCATCGATTACGATTGAATGTGTCAGGACTTGATTGCAAAGCAGAGAACAGTAAGGGGAAATAAATAGCTCAAGAGAAGAATGTGATTTTGGTGCTGGTGTTGAGGAAGCCTTTGAGCACTGGGTTGAGTTTAGTGAAATGTGTAGACAAACTTAGAAGGATAAAGTTTCTAGAATATCAGAAGATGGCACAGTCCTGTGTTATAATACTCAGAAAGGAGTCGTATGAAATGTAATTGTTACGTTGTGATTGCGAAAGGTCCTTATAGGCAGGAAAGTGGGCTGTGACTGAGCATGCAGGGAGGTTCAGCTTTCAGGACAGCCCGGACTGGCTAAGGGTGCTGAGATGACCAGAGGAATGTTTTTCTTATTGGAAAAATAAGACAATTAACACCCTGATCTGCTCTATCTTGACTCTTAAGTAGGGTGATTTTTAAATGCAAAAGGGTAGATGAAATGTAGGTGAAAGGAAACTGAACTGAAGACGGATGATGGGTGTATATTCACTCTAACTTCTTTACATCAATGTCTTTTTGCCTGAGTAAATTACTCCCTAGTTTAATACGATAACTTGCAAGTGAGCTTTTTTTAAAAATACAGTTTACAAAAGCTAGACCCTTTATTAAACTGTGCCTCTCAAAATACAGTCCTGTCAGTGTTGGACATTTCTAGAGTGGGTTGTCAGAGGGACAGGGATGCCATTTGACATCCACTGACTCTACAGCCACCCTAGGAGGCAAGTGCTGCTTCAAGTCCTCCTTTTCCAGTTTAGTTAGAAAGTGTTAGGGTTGGCCTTCGACAGGTCTTTCTAACGTCCACTCCTGGGCTCTTAACTACTGTACTGAACAGTGGTTACTCAGAGGCTGCGTAGTGCCCTTGAGTACAAGTCATGTTTAATATTTCCTTCTTTGATAGGAGCACTAGTTGTATTGAACATGTACTGAATAAGAGTAAGGCATCGACTGGTAAAGCAGCCTGTGGTTTTTGTGCAGACTGGACCATGGGAGGCTGCTGCGACTGAGTCATAAGTGGTTGAGCAGCTGTGCTTGAGGTCGTAGGTAGAGTTACTGTCTCGGTCAATTTTCTGTCATTGCTGAGACAAAATACCCAATGCCCAAAATTAAGGAAGGAAAGGTTTGTTCAGCTCACAGTTTGTGGAGGTTTCAGTTCATACTCGGCTGGCTCCAAGGCAGGGAGTCACATGGCAGAGGGCAACAGTTCATGGTGGAGGAAGATAGCAAAAGCAGCAAGAGCAAAAAGGGAGGAGCGGCAGAGAGCAGGCACTTTCCCTCCCTTACAGTGTATGGAAACTACTCGCCCCAGCGCAGGTGTAGCACTGACATCCATAATCCCAGCGCTGGACCATGGATCAATCAAAAACTCTAGAAGCCCGTCCCATGACTGCATGAGGCTTTGGGGGGACATCCAGACACGAACCATAACAGTTATCCCATGAGGCTGGGTCTACAGCTATGGCCCATGTGTTTTTATTAAGTTTGTGAGACTTAAATGAAAGAATAGGTTAACACAGAGACAAAAAAGATTGCTAATTTGTTGGAGCTAGGAGGCAGTCCCCCAAAGATCTCAAACCAGTTGGGACACTGGGATGAATCAAGTAAGATGAATCACATAAAACCTGTGATAATAAGGCTCTGCATTTCGGTGCAGAACACCAGCTGTCCCTGACTTAACCGTGGCACAGTGAAAAGACGGGGCTTCGGGCTACCGGCTCAGCAGCAGCCGGCAGTGTGCGGGAGACTGGCCACAGCTGCTCTGTTCTTCGGCTGCGATAATCACGTTCTCTATTGGTTATGTCTTTCTCTTCACTAAAACGCAAGCCCCTTGAGGGCAGAGATTTTGAGATTTTTTTCAAGCCATCTTGGAAGTGCCTGGCTTTTCGGTCCTCCGCTACTATGTGTAAAAGGAATGAATCAAAGCAAGACTCATGGCAGTTATCAGGATTCCTTATCGCAGATATCAGATATGCAGGTGCTATAATTACATACATTTTTTAAAAAATTTAACCACCAGACTACGACTTTCCTAACTAGAAACAGTGTGAGCTGGCTGCTTTAAGTTCAGTGGCACTTGTGTTTTATGTTGACTGAATAGAACCCACGTTGTCTTGTCATCCAGTGGTCTTTTCCTGTAAGAAAAATCTTAAATGTGAAGATTTAAAAACTGTTAAGTAAGCAGTGATAAGAATTTTAGGAAGATGATATATCTGTTCCCAGTATACATTATGATTTGATTGATCAGCTGTTTTCTAGGATGCTTCTTTGGGCCCTGTGTAAGACACTAGTTAAGTCAGATAAAAAATGCAGAAGAGTGGTTTATAAAGCTAAAGACAGAAATAATCCTGAAATGACTCATTTTCCTTTTTGACCATGAACTAAGTGAATCAGTTATATAAGTTGTTTGTAAAATAGAATCCTGGTACAATTTTGGTGTTAACTTTAATAATTTTTTAAACTTATGTCTTTTTAGTTAACTCTTCTCAGGAGTTTGTCTCTATAAATCTCAGTTAAATAAAACATCAGTTGTAATCATGACCAGGTGTGGGACTTGGGTCCCTGAGGGGATAAACCATGCATAGCAGCTCATTTCACTGCGGGTCTCATTACCCACATCCTGGAGTAGAGCTGTCCTTCCTTCCACTTGTCTTACGGGAACCAAGCCTTGAATTATGTCCTTAGTGTCCCTGAGGAGTTGATATGACCACTGTATGTCTGCTTACTTAGAAAAATGCGGTTGTTCAGCTAAGAGAAATAATTAGAAAGGATTTGATAATGTTTACTGTCTACCTCTAAGGTCCAATTGAGTTAAATAAATTCTTCAGAGAAGATATGTAAATTATACATCCACACATCGAATCTTTTGAAAAGTACGATTTAAATAATATTGGAATAAGACTTACGGTTAACACTAAGTGCTTTTTAAAGACAAGTTTCAAAGCATATGTTAATAGTTATTTTCTCTTACTTTCTCAAGGTTTTATGACTTACCTGGTGGAGCCTTTATTTACAGAATGGGCCAGGTTTTCAGATACGCGGCTGTCTCAGACAATGCTCGGACATGTGGGGCTGAATAAAGCCAGCTGGGAAGGACTGCAGAGGGAGCAGCCCAGCAGGGAGGACCCCGACGCGGCATTCCAGTTGAACTCACAGTTATTACCTCAGGAAAATCGGTTATCCTAACCCCTGAACCAGTGGGGCAAACTGGCTCCTGGAAGTTTTTAGAAATGTGAAATGGGGTCTTGAGGTGAGAGAACTTACTCTTGACTGCCAAGGTTTCCAAGTGAATGATGCCAGCATTATTTATTTCCAAGATTCCCTCTGTTGGATCATTTGAACCTTCTTTTTAATTATAAGACCTGAACATACAGCAATATGCATTTGGCTTTTGTGTGAAACCTTGAATATGCAAAGCCCAGCAGGAGAACCTGAAAGGAATAACAAAGGAAGTTTCTCAAGTTGTGCCATGTGCTTTTCAAAATATTCAAACCCGTTCTTCAAACTGTGAAACTTGAACTGAATATTTCAGCAGCAATCTCTTGGAATCCAGCCAGTCCGATGCAACAGTGTGTGTCTGTATCTTCCACTAAGTTCTCTCGGAGAAAACGGAAATGTGAAGTGCCCAGCCTCTGCTGCCTCTGGCAAGACTCAATGTTTACAAATCAACTCTGAAAATCTTGGTTCTAAATTGCCTTGGAGCATGATTGTGAAGGAACCACTAAAAAACTTAAAGATCAAACTTTAGACTGCAGCTCTTTCCCCCGGTTTGCCTTTTTTCCCCTTCCTTTGGATGCCACCAAAGCCTCCCATTTGCTCTATTTTATTTTGTGCACTGGAAACTGAGCATTTATCATAGAGTACGGCCAAGCTTTCACTCCAGTGCTGTTTGGCAATGCAAATTTTTTTACCTGTTCGTTTTTTAATTTGGGGCGGGAGGGGAAGAACACCAATGTCCTAGCTGTATTATGACTCTGCAGTGAAGACATTGCATGTTGTTTTCACTACTGTACACTTGACCTGCACATGCAAGAAAAAGGTGGAATGTTTAAAACACCATAATCAGCTCAGGGTATTTGCCAATCTGAAATAAAGTGGGATGGGGAAGTGTGTCCTTCCGATCAAGGGTACTAAAGTCCCTTTCGCTGCAGTGAGTGAGAGGTATGTTGTGTGTGAACGTGTGGATGTGTGTCTGCATACGTCTGTGCATGTGTGACTGTGCATGTGTCGTGTTTATCCATGTGGGGACAGGTTGGAAGTGTACGCTTCTATTTATTTTAGGATGTCGGGGGAGGGGACGGTGGGTGAGCCTAGCAGATTGCTCCAGTTGCCTTAAACTATGCACAAAGCTAAGTGACCAAACTTCTCGTTTCGATTTGAAAAAGTGCATTGTTTTCTTGTCCCTCTCTTTGATGAAACGTTACCCTTTGATGGGCCTTTTGATGTGAATAGATGTTTTCTAGGACAAAATTTAAGGACTAATTTTAAACTTAAAACATTCCACTTTTGTAATTTGTTTTAAATTGTTTTATGTATAGTAAGCACAACTGTAACCCAGTTTTAAGAGAAACCGGTGCTTTTAGTTCATTTGTATTTCCCTTGTTACTGTAAAAGACTGTTTATTAATTCTGTTTACAGTTTGTTGCAACAGCCATTTCTTGGGAGAAGCTTGAGTGTAAAGCCATTTGTAAAAGGCTTTGCCAGACTCATTTTAATATGTGCCTGTTGCTGTTAACTCTTGATGAATAAAAACCTATCTTTTCACATTTTTATCTTTGATATTTACCTTAAAACTTAATCCTTTGGGAAAAAGAAAACTCAATCCTCTGGGAATCATAGTACTAAATTACAAGTCAGTCAGTTAGCTGGCAGGCCCTGCAGTGCCTCATCAGAGGTTACTTGGTCAGAGTTGCGAGCAGGCACCGTCCTGTGGGTTATCTGCCAGTACCTGCACCTTGCAGGTGTGCGCTCTGGGCCCTGGTTCCCCAGTTTGCAGCCCTGACTAGTACATCGTAGAGGTCAGCTCCGAGCCAGGCCCTTGCCTCTGCAGCCACTGATTCCCAGCTGGGAACTGCATAGGAAACACCTCTTGCAAACGCTAGAATACTAGTGGTATTTATCTCTGTCATTGGCTTTTTAAAAGGTAACACGAAATAACCAATTAATTCTGGATGGATACCAGTGTAAGAACAGCAGCATTAGGCCTCTCCTGTATTTATTTGCCCAGGTCTCATTCATTAGAAGGGATATAGCGTAAACTTTAAGGTCAACTCTCTGGTCATTGTTTGAACAGATAAGTGATAATCAATGAAAATATAATAAAAGCCACTTAAGTAATTTTCATTTTTCTAGTAACTACATACAAAATGAACACGTGGAATTTTAATCTCATTTTATTGCAGTATTATTAGCCAAAATAATGTATCATCTCAACATGTGGTCAGCTTAAAAAACAAGATTTGGTTTTGGTTTTGGCTCTGGGTCTTTGAAATCTAGTGCCTATTTTATACTTCTAGCACATCTCGGTTTGCACTAGCCACATACCAAGTATCCAACATACACATGGAGTTAGCAGCAGCCATGTAAGACAGTATAGGTATAGAGACCTGACGGTAACAGAGCTGAGTGTTATCTGGGGAAAAGGATTTTTATGATGTGAAGTGAGAGCACTTGGGCGAATTTGATGCGTTAAGGATCTGTAAGTCTCACGGGCTCACAGACCGCCTGTCAGTGCGCGGAGAGTAGACCTCAGGGCACACTCACCTTAACCAAGCTCAAGTAACTAATATTTTTAAAAAGACAGTATCACTATTTTAATTTATAATGAGAAATGTAACTATCGATCATTCTCTCCTTTTAGGCAAATCTTCTTGACAAGCCAACTTGTGAACTGGGTGAGCGTGGATTCTGAGCGAGGGAAGCAAGTTGCCTCATGCATCCATCTCCCTGTGGGGATACATCTGCTGTTAGCGTGTCCGTGGACCCGGGTACTCTCCTCCCCGGATGATGCTAGAGATTCTCTGCCCGGAGTTGCTTCTCCACATTAGCTTGTGATGGGCAGCTCTATCACATACGTCATTACCTTCAGCCGTCTTTCAGTTGAGCTTGTCTAGGCTCCATTCTGCCTGTATGACTGCTTGCTTTTTGCTCTGATTTTTTTGTCTTACAATTTAATAATCAGTTTCCTCTTTGCATATTCTCAGGGACACCTCAGTGTTGCTTCCATCTTTCTGCCTGAACATATAATAAACCCAATGAAAAGTTGTGTTTTATTATGTATGTGAGAATCCCATTCTGTTGCCCTGTTTCTTAGATGTGACTTATATACCTGAACATGGACTTTTCTAGAAACTTCGAAAGTTAAATATTTAGGTCACATTTTTTTAAAGCAAATACTATTGAACAGAATGCAAACGTCACACAAATTTTCAAGATGAAACACATTTCAAAGTTGAACATGTAGAAGCCTCTTTGAGCTCTCTGTCCAACATTTTAGTGGCAAGGGAATCTCTGCTTTAGGGGTAAAAATCCTTGGAGAGTTTTGACAAGTCCTAGTCCAACACTGATAAAAACTGGTTCCTTGTCAGTATTTGTACTCACTGTCAGTGTGGTTTCTAATGATCCTCTTTGTATAAAAGTAAAAATTACATTTTATGTTTTTGCAAACCTGGAAAATATTCTTGTACCTGAGGTACAGGTTAAGAGGTGCTAGTAATTCCTTCAGGACTCTGAAAAGGGTCTCTTAATTTTCCTCAATGCTTTCTTGGCTTTTATTAAACTATTTTCTTAAAACTGTAAAATTTTCACATCGAGTTTCCAGTGTCTTCATATATAAATATTTTAATGTATACTGTTTAAATTCCCTTCCAGTTGTGTCTGCCAATTGACAAAATACGTACTGACCAATAATATGAATTCATACTGCTTTTATTAAAGAAATGTACATGCTAGTGACCATGGCATCAATGTCCATCTGAAACAGGGTAAACATGGGCAAAACCCAGTCTGCAGTCCTTCCTTGCTGAGGACCTGCAGCACGTGCCACTTGGAAGAGCTAAGCCCGTGCCCGCAGGAGGAGCGAGCACTACTTGGGGGGTGAAGTGACAAAGGGCACGTCTTGGGTCATCTGTCTTCCTGGCTCCTGTGTTCAGTATAGGGCTGGTGTAAATTGGGCCATCAATAAATTTGTTTGTTGAACAAACTAATGTGGAGTTAACGTGTTCCCTTTTTAAAGCAATGATTTGGAAACCAAGTCATGCGGTGAGCAGTGCCTGAGCTCCTGTTGTGTGCAGAGCGTGGCACTGGACAAAGGGGCGCTGGGGATCACTCACCATGGTCTCTGCTCAGGCGTGTCAGTGGCGGACACTTGCGAGGTGTGTGTTATATAACCCGGCCGCCTTCCACACCGTACAAAGGGACTGCGCCACGAGGCTGCCGTGCAGGAGAATGAACGGCATGGGTAAAGATGAAAACGATGCTATTTCTAGTCATTCTTACATTTTTAAAAAATTCAGTACATGTAGCTTTCAAATTTGATTATAAAAAGTTTTAACTATTCAGTATGATACTTTTAAAAGTAAAATACTAATTTTTATCAGTTATACTCTAAAATGTTATACCTGTGAGGTGTAAGCTCTCCTGATGCCCACCTTAAACTTGGTAGGATGGCAAAGGAAAGAAGAACACTTGTTCTCGGTGTTCAATTTCTTACTGGCTGTTACTTAAGCCTGAAAACACCAGGTCGGCCTCAGCCTTCCATTAATCCCGTCAAGTCTTTGTTAATAAATTCCACCTTGTACTTTAAACTGTGCATCTGAGTTGTTTAAATTTAAATTTGAAGTACTTCTACATTACCTGTGTATTACAGAAAAGTCAGGAGGCTGTTCCTAACATACATATTCTTTATTTTAGCTGAAATTTGTAACAATTACAGAAATTTTGAAGGCAATAAAGAAGGTTATCTTACTTTGCTCAGGTTGCTGTAGCTAAAACAAAGAAACAAAAGCTGTTGCTTTCTCACAGCTCTGGAGGCTTGGAAGCCAGCGGTCAGGGTGCCAGCGCGCTGTGTTGTGAGGACCCGCCAAGCTGCAGGCAGGTCCGCCAGTTCCAGGTCGCACTCTCCTGTGGCTGGCGGAAGGAGGGGATCAGCGCTCACAAATAATCCCCTCGTGGAGCCTCCAGCTTCAGGCCTAACTGCCCTGCAAAGGCCTGCGCCTAATGCCATCCTATTAGGGGCTTGGGTTTCAACACAGCAACGGAGGGAGGGTGTTACACACATTTAATAACAGTGCTTAAAGGTCCTACGTGTAGGGCTATACATGCAGTTTAGTGCTTGCCTTGTATCCTGGAGACCCTGGGTTTGTTCCCTAGCCCTACCACCACCAAAAAAAGAAAAAGTTACTAAACGAAAATGTCTGGAAAACAGCTTTTTTTTGGAGACATGGTCTTGCTATGCTTGAACTCACTATGTACTCCAGGCTGGCCTTGAACTCCTAGTAATCCACCTGCCTCAGCTTCCGAGTGCTGGAATTATAGGCTATAGGCATGTGCCACCACTCCGTGCAGAAAATAGCTGTTGAATTTCCAAAAATCATCACAAGACAGAAGTTAGGTTTTTCCATCATAGGGGACAGGGACTTGTTCTGATTATTTTAGGTAACTGCAGGCTCTGCTATGAAGGTTTGTGTACATGATAATGGAGACCACTTGTGACCCTGGCCTTGGGGAACAGCACCTGGGATCCAGACATTGTGAGGAGCTTCTCGCTGCGCCTGCGCTTTCTTCACTCTGGGCCCCTAGTCTTCCATTTCCACCGAGACCCTACACTACTATACTACAATACAGTTTTTAAAAAGCATCGCCTGGGGCTGGGGATACAGCCAGTGGCACAGCGCCTGCCCGGCAAGACAAGGTCCTGCGTTTGGTTCCCAGTCCCAAAAAAAAAGTCTCTAAGGCTTGACAGACCTAGTTTGAGTCTTCCAGCAAGCTGTCCATTTCTGAGTGTCTAACCTACAAAATGCCTACCTCTTAAAGAGGAAGTATGTATTGACAGTCAGTGCTAAATCAGTGACCACTGTGAGAACTTACCTCATTCCCTGAGAATACCTGCAGGCAGGGTTCACTTGCACCTCGTGACGTCCACACGTGAGCTCCTGGTGCTAACTGCCTCACTTCTCAGGTTCCCTTACTCAGATTCCTAGAGAATCTGAGCAGGCACAGCTCGTGCAGGCTGTGCACCGGGGTGCCGCATAGTCTGCACTACCAGCCGTTCCCCTCAGCAGCAGGCTAGGCCAAGGATAAGGGCTATGCGCGTAACCTGACCCCAAAGATCAGCACCGTAGGTACTGCTGGAGCCCTCCTAAAAATTACTCTCATGTTCTTTTTTTTTTACTACTCTTAACCTTATGGAAACAGCCCTCTGACCTTTTTAAGAAGATCTGGAGAATCTGACCCAAAGAGAAGAGTTGAGAAGTACAGCTGTAGCAACATTAAGGCCCTCAGGAAGTGAACTAAGGCCAACAGTCTCACGGGAAGTGTATTAAGATTTCTCAGTCCTTATTTGGTCATGCTCTTTTACTCTGCAATCTGCTCTCAAGGGCTAGGGCTAGTAGTGAGACCCATGAAGAGCTTAGCCTACATGCAGTTTCTGAGCGAAGTCTAAGATGCGTCTTAAAGGCACAGATTCAAGAAGTAACTCAAGAGGGCTGGTCAGGCTACAAGGGGAAAGAGGACAGAGCAGTGGGTCCTAGGAATGGACGAAGGTTCATGAGAATGACGCAACAGCTGTCATGAGACCCAGTGTCACTCTGCCAGCAACTCCAGAGCTGAATTCATAGGGTAAACTGAAAATTTAAACTTCTCCGTCAGAGTCTATCACACACAGAGAACTTTATTTTTGAAGAAGTTACCAGAGACGGGTATGGTGGCACACGCCTATAATGCCAGCACTTGGGAGGCTGAAGCAGAAGGATCCTCGCGAGTTCGAGACCAGCCTTAGCTACAGAGTGAGCTCAAGGCCAGCCTGAACTGCATAGTGAGACCCTGCCTCAAAAAGACAAAAAAAAGTTAGCAGAAACAATGGTTTTTCCAAAGTGTGTTTCTGTAGTTATGATCTTGTGTCTTCCTCCTCACCACTGAGAGACTCACAGGAGCGTTAACGGAGTAAGAAGATGTGTCTTATGCAGAAGCGCCTGTCATGGAGGCGGCACCAGAACTAAGACGCTGAGTCCGGCCTGTCCCACACCAGACTTGTGAAAGTGACACCCTTTCCAGGGAGCCACAGACCACATGTCTTCGGAGAAAAGATCCTGTTGGAAATTACAGACTTTAAGTAAAATAAGGCAACAACAGTAACAACAGCACTTTAATACTCACTGAATGAGTCCAGAACTATTTAATGTAATCCTAAGTAACTTCTCAGCTGCTATTCTTAGTCTTTTTTAAAAAGAGAGGACGTGACTTCGCCAGGATCACCTAAGGCTCCCAGTCCAGGGCCGACTCATCTGTCTCTGTAAGGTGACTGGACTAGGGAGAAGTCACAGGGGACGGGCATTATACCAAGGCGGTGACTTGTGTGAGCTTTCGCTGTAACATGTAGTAGAGTGGATCCACAAGATCTCTTACTCACATACTATCCCGGGCAGGAGCACTGCACCGTGATGACGTGGATGTGGGAAAGATGAGAAATTACAGAGTTCTGGGTTTCAGAACTCTGAAGAAACGCAGCTCTCTCCTGTGTTAATGCTGGGATCTCTTTAGGAGAAACAGTGAACGAGAAGTGATACAACTCATTTTAAGGAATATATTTTCACTTAAAAGAAGCAACATATGCAATGTACAAGTCTTATCTGTTCCAAAAAAATACAAAGGCGATGCTGTCCATGGAGAATTTAAACAGTCTGCTTTATTTTAAAATAGTTCCTTCTTTATATTGGAGCACTAGCCAAAATTCAATACTAATACAAATATAAACTTCTTAGGAGGTCAAAATATGTCAGGCGAATGTTTTTAATTTCTTAAAAGGCAGAATATTTCAACCATAAAAAACAATTAGAAACATTCCACAGTTCAAATTTAGGTTAAATAACCAAACCATGTAATTTTTCTCAAATAACTTTGGTACTATTTAGAACAGCACCCCAGGTCACAGTGCAGGTCCCACGGACAGCAGCCCTCACTACAATCACACGAGGGAGGAGGATAGGACACGGGGTGGGGCTGGGGCCTAGGGCTGGGGACCCAAGCCCAGCCCCAGCTGGGAGACCCCCTGTACCCCGCAGCATGGTCGGACACCTGGTCCCTTGGCCGGGACCTGGGGACCAGATGGGAGCCAGGGACAGGGCTTCCCAGGGGAGATGAGGGTGACAAGCACAGCAGGGGCCCGGCCTGCACGCCTCCTCAGCTCCTCCAAAGGCTCCAAAGGCCACCAACCACCGAAGGATGACAAGCGGCGGCGAAGTCCAGAGAAGTAGGGCACAGCATGGCGCAGCTGGAAAAGACCGTGCAGCTCCTCAAAGCTGGTCACAGAACCTCACGGGGCCCAGACTTCCATAACAGGTCTGGGGCCCACAGCGTGAAAACCTGGACTCAGATGGAGATCCACACACCAGTGTTCGCAGCCATGTGATTCCCAACCGCCGAGAGGAGAAATCCACAAACTGATGAACAGAAGTGGTAGAATTCCTGTCACATGGTGGAATATTATTCAGTCCTGAAGAGGACGAAGGCCTGACACCACTTCAGACTAGACAGAATTGACACTGCGCCAAAACGAGCCAGTCCCCAAGCACAGGTCCTATGTGACCCTACTTGCAGGAGACGCCAGAGGTGCCAGGGCCAGGGGACAGGAGGGGCAGAGGTGAGGAAGGTGGAGGTGGACCCTGGTGCTGGCTGCACTGGGCTTAGTGCCCCAACTGTACTTAAACACATCCAAAACGGGACGCTTTATGCCAGGTGTATTTTATCACAATAAAAAATCAGAACATAAAGAAACCAATATATTTCAGTAACTTAAAACGTCCATCTACTCTTCCCATCTCTTAATCCTCCCAGCAAGTGCAACTGTTCCACCGATTTAAACAATAAATCCAAATATTTACTTATGGTAGGAGACTAACTATGGCTATTAACTACGACATTAACTCTGGCTGAGTTTATCAGAAAGAACAAGTCATGAAAATGTATTAAGCATTTTAAAATGGTCACT